GGTTACCTGCTATGGAGAATGTGTTGGGGTGTGAAAATAAAATAAATCTTGAGACCCTGAAATCATTAAGGGAAAACTCAAGCTGGGAACTACATAGGGCAAACATGCCTCCAATTCTATTCCTAAACAAGATAGCTACTAAGATAGAAGAGCTACATACTTTCCTCACAAGGAATTTCCTTGCAGTCAAAGGACAGACAGAACTTAAAGTCATCCCTCTGCTCACTGAGATAAATGCATAGATATGCACAGATGTGCATTTATGCATATTATATGATTATCTCCTTTGGAAAAGCTAATCAGAAACTCAAAAGAATGCAACCATTTGTCTCTCACCTACCTATGACCTGGAAGCCTCCTTCTCTCTTTGAGTTGTCCTGCCTTTCTAGACAGAACCAATGTATTTTTACATATATTTACTGATGTCTCATGTCTCTCTAAAATGTGTAAGACCAAGCTGTGCCCAGACCACCTTGATCAGACGTCATCAGGACTTCCTGAGACAATGTCACAGGCACTCATTTTTAACTTTCACAAAATAAACATCCTAAATTGACTGAGACCTGTCTCAGATATTTGGGGTTCATAGCTTAAAGGAATCCCCAGAAAATGGCAGCACTGGGGCAGATGAAGGTGGGAAACCAGCAAATTAGAAGATGAGCTTCAGACAGCCAAGAGAGCAAGTGGCTGCTTCTCTCTTGCTCTGCTATTTGAGATGCTTCCCCTGTGTACCTACCTGTGATAGGCAATGCCACATAGAGACAGGCCAAGAATAGGCAGAGAACCCTCACCTAAAGGACCAGAAGCCATTATATTAGTTGCTGCTACAACAAATCACTGCAAACTGTCAAGCTGAAAGCAGCAGGAATTTATTCTCACACAGTCTTGGAAGGCAGAAGTCTGAAATCAAGGTGACTGCAGGGCTGTACTCCTTCCAAAGGTTCTAGGGGAGAATCTTTCCGTGCTTCATTCTAGCTTTTCGTGGTTGCCAAGAACTCTGGGCATTTCTTGGCTTGTATATCCTCCACTCCAATCTTCATGTCTGTTATTTTTTTAATTGGCAAGTAAAAACTGTATATATTTATGATGAACAATATGATGCTTACATGTGTGTCTGTGTGTGTCTATGCATTATGGACTGACTAAATCAAGCTACTTAACATATGCATGTAAACTTAAAATAGAATTCTAAGCCTTACCAACCATGTGAATGGACCCCTCTTGGCCAAGGGCATTCCAAAGTTAACCTGAAAAACTAGTTCAGGCCATTCTGGGAAGGTGGAATCAGATGGACCTCGCTATGCCCTCCTCCCTTTGGAATTCAGGCATAGCTGGCCAGCATTAACATTAAAACAGAGATCTTGGCCAAGTGTGGTGGCTCACACCTGTAATCCCAACACTTTGGGGGGCCAAGGCAGGCAGATCACTCGAGTTCAAGAGTTTGAGACCAGCCTGGAATAGTGAAACCCTGTCTCTGCTAAAAATACAAAAGTTAGCTGGCCGTGGTAGTGCATGCCTGTAGTCTCAGCTATTTGGGTGGCTGAGGCAGAAGAATCACTTGAACCCAGAAGGCGGAGGCAGTGAGCCAAGATCACACCACTGCACTCCAGCCTGGAACACAGTGAGACTTTGTCTCAAAAAAACAAAAACAGAGATCTTAAGACCTTTTGTAGCAGTAAGACACCAAATTCCAGCCTCACTGCAATATAGCAGCACATGACAGACAGCAGGTCCTGAAAGAAATTGAGGTATTTTACTTCAAAATATATTTCTTTGACATATTTTGAAATGGTTCTGTAAAGCTGTCTCTTGTGAGGAAAACCTATACTCTTTAGAGCCTCCCTTTTCCTTTCTAGGTCTTCTCCCTGATCCAGGAGAGAAATAACTGAGTCTGGAACCTTTTTAAGTCTGATAAGAAACATTTATAATCTACTCTCTCTGAAGCCTGTTACCTGGTGTCTTCATCTGCAAAATAAGAACCTTGGTCTCCACAACTCCTTATTTTAACCCAGACACTCTTTTCTATGGATTCCAGGTCTTTATATAAACGCTTTCAACCAATTGCCAACTGGAAAATCTTTGAATCCACCTATGACCTGGAAGCTCTCCCTGCCCCCAACTCCTCCCCACCTCAAATTGTCCCACCTTTCTGGGTCAAACCAATGTACACCTAACATGCATTGATTGATGTCTCACGTCTGCCCAAAAACCTTCGGCATATGTTGTCAGGACCACGACTGTGTCACAGGTATGTCAGTGACCTTGGCAAAATAAACTTCTAAGCTGATTGAGACTCATCTGAGATACTTTCTGGTTTATATGCATTATCTCACATACTTATCATTTTTTGTGAGGAGAACACTGAAAATCTCTTTTAGCAATTTTCAAGTACAGATGGTCTTTAATTTACAATGGTTCAGCTTGTGATTTTTTGACTCTACAATGGTGCAAAGTAGAAACCATCATTTGAATAGCCACACAATCATTCTTGTTTTCACCTTCAATACAGTATTCAATAAATTACATGAGATGGTCAACATTTTATTATAAAATAGGCTTTGTGTTAGATGATTTTACCCAACCGTAGGTTAATGTAAGTGTTTTGAGCATGTTTAAGGTGGATTAGGATAAGCTATGATGGTCAGTAGGTTATACATATTAAATGCATTTTGATTTGTGATATTTTCAAATTATGATGGGTTTATTAGGATGTAACCTTATCAAAAGTTGAGGCATATCTCTATGCAATATATTGTTATTAACTGTAGTACCCATGATGTATAACAGATCTATTGAACTTATTCCTCCCTTCTAAATAAAATTTCGTGTCTTCTGACCAACATCTCCCCAATTGCCCCCAATCCTACCCGCTGGCAACCACCATTTTATTCTGTTTCTATGAGTTTGCCTTTTTCACCTTCCACATATTAAGTGAGAAGATGCAGTATTTGTCTTTGTGCCTGGCTTATTTCATTTAGCCTAATGTCCTCCAGCTTCATCCACGTTGTTGCAAATGACAGGATTTCCTTCTTTCTAATGGCTAAATAGTATTCTTTTGTGTATATGTGCCCCATTTTCTTTACCCATCCTGGTGGACTCAGGTTCATTCCATGTCTGGGCAACTGTGAACAGTGCTGCAATAGACATGGGGAGTTGATATATCTCCTTGACTTACTGATGTCATTTCCTTTGTTGATCACCATGTCTTCACGGGGCATTCTCCCCATGCCTCCCTGTCCTCTTATAGCCATGGCCATCTTGTTACAAGGACACCAGTCAAGTTGGATGAGGATCCACCCTACTCCAGTACCACGTTACCTTAATTACACCTGCAATGAGCCTCTTTCCAAATAAGATCACATTCACATGTTCCATGGGTGAGGACTCCAAAGTATCTTTTTTTGAGAGGCCCAATTCAACCCATAACAGTAGATAAGGCCTTCATCAGTCCTGCTTCCCATCTAATTTGGGTTATGCCACAGACAGAAAAGATGCTTGTGGTTTAAACAGCTAGAACAGGAACGTTCATAGCAGAAGCAGAAGAAAGTCCTTGGTTGGTCCACACAGATGGAGTATATCTCAGCATGGCAGAGCAGCCATCATTATGTTGTTCAACAAACAAATATTAAGGGTCTGCTTTGTTCCAGGAACTGGGCTGAGAATTGTAGATTGACAGATGGGACACCCATCAAGGAGCTGACATTCCAGAGAGGGAAGCAAAAGAATCACAAACTGACAAGAGCTATGAGGGGAGGAGGGATGGAGCATACCCCGGTGGTGTGAGGCCTCAAACCAAGTGGTCAGAGAAGAGTTATTTAAGAGATCATATTTGAACAGAGACCCGAAGCAAGACAGGGAGTAAGCCCTATTAAAACGCAGAATAATAACACTTCAGGGAAGAAAGAACATTTCAGACAGGGGAAAAACAAATGCAAAGACTGTGAGGTTAAACACGGATGGTGAGTACAATCATGATTGATTCTTTATGATCCCAGGACAGAGAGGTGTGAGATGGAAGGAAAGGTGGGATGGGGCCAGGTGGTAAGAAATTGGGGTTCTGTAGATTATGGTAAGGAACTTGGATGCTATTCTAAACTGGAGGTTCACTTCATTGAACCTACCCTTTGGTTGTAAAGCCACAATCTTCCTACATTTTTTTTTATTGAGACAGGGTCTCACTCTGTCACCCAGGCTGGAGTGCAGTGGCACAATCAGGGCTCATTGCAGCCCCCACCTCCGTCGGCTCAGGTGATTCTCCTACGTCAGCCTCCAGAGTGGCTGGAACCACAGGCTCACACCATAATTCCCTGCTTATATTTTTTATTTTTTGCAGAGTCAGGGTTTGCCATGTTGCCCAGCCTGGTCTCAAACTCCCGGGATTAAGCAATTCACCTGCCTCAGTCTCCCAAATTGCTTGGATTACAGGTGTGAGCCACCACACCTGGCCCTAACCTATTAATACCCAAATTCACTAATGTGAATAAGCTTTTCCAAAGAAAAAGTGAGGGGAACAAGAAGTGAATGGAGAATGAAAACCTGATGTACGAACTAGATATGGCTGTGTAACAAATTATCCCACAAGTTGGCAGCTTAAAATGGTATATGCTAATTATATGGATTCTTGTGTGTCCAGAATCTGGGCATGGCTTAGCTGGGTTCTCTGGCTCAGGGTCTCTCACCAAGCTACTATTTCACCTCCACACTGGACTGGGCATTTGATTCAGCAATCCCACTACTGGGTATGTATCCAAGGAAAAGAAATCATTATATCCAAAAAACACCTGCACCTGTATGTTTATTGCAGCACTATTCACAATAGCAAAGACATGGAATCAACCTAAGGACCAAACAATGGAAGACTGAACAAAGAAATTGTGGTATATATTAATACATGCAATGGAATACTATTCGGCCATAAAAAAGAACAAAATCAGGTCTTTTGCAGCAACATGGATGGGATTGGAGGCCCTTATCCTTAGTGAAATAACACACACACCAAGTCAAATACCACGTTTTCATTTATAAATGAGAGCTTAATAACGAGTACACGTGGATATAGAGTGTGGAATGATAGACACTGGAGACCCGGAAGAGTGGGAGGATGAGAGGCACTGGGGGATAAGAAACTACTTAATGTGTGCAATGTACACTTTCAGGTGATGGATACACTAAAAGTCCAGACTTCACCACTATACAGTATATCCATGTAACAAAACTTTACTTCTATCCCCTAAATGTAGAAGAGAGGGAGGGAGGAAGGGAGGGAGGGAAAGAAAAGACAGGGAGGGAGGGAAAGAAAAGACAGGGAGGGAGGAAGAAAGGGAGCAAGAGGGCAGAACAGAAGCCATGATCGCTTTGTAGCCTAATCTCAGAAGCGGTACCATCACGTTTGCCATAGCCTTTTGGTTACAAGTGAGTCATCAGGTCCAGCCCATCCTCAAGGGATTACACAGGGCACGAGGACCAGGAGGTGAGGACCATTCAGGGCCATCTGAAGATGCCTAACCCAGCTTAAAAAAAATTTGAGGGGTGGATGGCAGACAACCAGCTAGTAAAGAACAGAACGTAGGGGTGAAAAAGAAAACATGTAAAAGAGTTCAGATAAGGGGATTCAAGTCACAGGGGACTGACAATTTCAAAGTTCCCAGGAGGTCAAGTTGAGCAGGATGGAAAAGAAACTATGGAATTTGCCCTTTTCGGGAAGACATCGATGATGGTCGCTGAGCCATTATTTTTGTTTCTTTGTGTGTTTGTTTCTGGTTTTTGTTTTTTTGTGGGGGGTGTGTGTGTGCTGTTGTTGTTTGAAATAGTCTCTGTTGCCCAGGCTAGAGCGCAGTGGCACAATCTCAGTTCACTGCAACCTCCACTCTCTGGGTTCAAGTGATTCTCATGCCTCAGCCTCTTCAGTAGCTGGGATTACAGGCATGCACCACCACACCCAGCTAATTTTTGCATTTTTGTAGAGATGGAGTTTCACCATGTTGGCCAGGCTGGTCTTGAACTCCTGCCTCATGTCATCAATCTGCCTCGGCCTCCCGAAGTGCTGGGATTACAGGCGTAAGCCACCATGCCTGGCCTGCCTGAGCCATTTTAAGAGACGAATCGGGGGTACAGCCATAGGCACAGGTCCTTGTCACTCATTGACCAGCAGGATCACTGCCTTTGCAGGAGCTGACAGGGAAGAACCAGAAAGCACCTCCTCTCTCAGCCTGGGACTTCCCACCGTCTCCTGACACCTCCACCAGAAAACGACCTCATTTCTCAAAGACAAAACAGATTCTAGGTCATATCCCCCTGGAACGAGAGACCAACTGATGTGATTATCTCCAAGAGAAAGAGGGGCACCTACTAAAAGTAGATCCTGGTGCCCCAGAAGGGAAGACATCGGGGAACCTAAAAAGGGGTCTCTGATAATTACCTGCCAAGATTTCACAGCGAAGGGCATCTCCATGTAATGCCGAAAAAAAAAAAAAGAAGAAGAAAGAAAAAAGGCTGGAAGTTTTAGAAGGTTCTTCTTCATCCATTCTGCAATTTCACTCGATTTTACCCAAAAGCAGAATTCTGCTCCCTACATTGCATGAATCTGTATATAGAACAGGTGGCCCCAGCAAGGATGGTTGCAAAAAGGAATTCCTGTAAATTGCTCTTTATTATAAAAATCAGAGAGCTGCCAGGTGCAGTGGTTCACGCCTGTAATCCTAGCACTTTGGGAGGCCAAGGCGGGCAGATCACAAGGTCAGGAGTTCGAGACCAGCCTCGCCAACACAGCGAAACCCTATCTCTAATAAAAATATAAAAATTAGCAGGGTATGGTGGCAGGCACCCAGGTGTTCAGGAGGCTGAGGCAAGAGAATCGCTTGAACGCGGGAGGCGGAGCCAAGATTACGCCACTGCACTCCAAGCCTGGGTGACAGAGTGAGACTCTGTCTCAATAAATAAATAAATAAATAAAAATAAAAATAAAAATCAGAGAGCTAATTTCACAAAAAAAATGTAACTCCCTATTGGCCTGAGTTAGAAGTATTTGGGCTTCAATATATTGGGAGGAAGGAAATATGTATAACTATAATTGTGTACACACACACACACACACACACACACACACACACAGAGGCATGGTGGGGGAATGAATGTGGAATGGTTAGAGTGAAATCAAGAGCAAGTTCAGAATAGATTTCTCTGGATAGTAAAAATAAAAAATGAGGCCCGCCACTGTGGCTCGTGGTCAAAATCCCAGCACTTTCAGAGGGTGAGGCAGGAGGATGGCTTGAAGCCAGGAGTTCAAGAACCAGCCTGGGCAACATAGCAAGATCTCATCTCTCAAAAAAAAAAAAAAAATTAGTCAGGTGTGATGACATGCACCTGTAATTCCAGCTACTCAGGAGGTTGAGGCGAGAGGATCTCTTGAGACCAGGAGTTCAAGGATTCAGTGAGCCGAGACTGTGTCACTTCATTTCAGCCTGGGTGACATAGTGAGACTCTGTCTCAAAAAAAATCAAATAAAATTCTTATTCATTTCATTATGTTTTTTCATATTTCATTGCTTTCATAGGTTATTTGTTAGTTTAAGAGAAGTATTAAGGCGTGAAGAGTAGTGAAAAATTTTCCCAGTCCCAGGCTTATGTACACAATGTTTCTGTAGCATTTTTTGAACACCATCACTTCTGTTCAGACATACGTAGGCAAGTCACCTGGAAGCCGAGAGCTAATCCTAGCCCGGCAATCAGTGGTTCTTTCCAGACAGAAGTTGCTCACACCTAAAATCCCAGAGCCTTGGGAGGCCAACCTGGGAGGACTGTTTGAGCCCAGGATTTTGAGACTAGCCTGGGCAACATATCAAGGCCCTGTCTCTACAAAAAATTTAAAAAATTAGCCAGGCCTGGTAGCACATGCCTGCGGTCCCAGCTACTCAGGAGGCTGAAGCAGGAGGATTGTTTAAGCCCAGGAGTTCAGGGTTGCAGTGAGCCATGATGGTGCCACTGTACTCTATCCTGGGTGACAAAACAAGACCCTGTCTAAAAAAAAAAAAAAAAAAAAAAAGCAGGGCACAGTGGCTTATGCCTGTAATCTCAGCACTTTGGGAGGCCAAAGCAGGTGGATCATCTGAGGTCAGGAGTTCAAGACTAGCCTGGCCAACACAGTGAATCTCCGTCTGTACTGAAAATACAAATAAATTAGCTGGGCATGGTGGTGGGCACCTAAAATCCCAACTACTTGGAAGGCTGAGGCAGGAGAATCACTTTGTTTATCCATCTAACCAATGATGGACATTTGTTTTTCACTTGTGAGCTTCATGAGGGCATTGACCTTGCCTTTCTTTTTTTTTTTGAGATGGAGTCTCGCGCTGTCGCCCATGCTGGAGTGTAGTGGTGTGATCTCAGCTCACTGCAACCTCCGCCGCCTCCCAGGTTCAAGCAATTCTTATGCCTCAGCCTCCCAAGTAGCTGGGACTGCAGGCACGCACCACCATGCCTGGCTAATTTTTTGTATTTTTTTTTTTTTCGGAAACAGACTCTTGCACTGTCACCAGGCGCCAGGCTGGAGAGCAGTGTTGCGATCCTGGCTCACTGCAACTTCTGCCTCCCGGGTTCAAGCAATTCTCCTGCCTCAGCCTCCCGAGTAGCTGGGACTACAGGCACGCACCACCACACCCAGCTAATTTTTTAGCAGAGACGGGTTTCACCATGTTGGCCAGGATGGTCTCTATCTCTTGACCTTGTGATCTGCCCACCTCGGCCTCCCGAAGTGCTGAGATTATAGGTGTGAGCCACCGCGCCCAGCCGCCTCTCTTATTTACCGTAGTATTCCACCACCCAGCACCCAGCACAGAGGGTGGTTCACGGCAAGCACTCAACACATATTTATTAAATGAAAATGTAAGTGGAAGAATCAATAAATGTTTTATTTTTATTTTATTTTTTCAGACAGGATCACACTTTGTCACCTAGGCTGGTGTACAGTAACACAATCATGGCTCACTGCAGCCTTAACTTCCTGGGCTCAAGGGATCCTCCCAATCTCAGCCTCCCAAGTAGCTAGGACTACAGGCATGTGCCGCCATGTATGGTTTTTAAAAAAATTTTTTTTTAGAGACAGGGTCTTGCTATGTTTCCCTGGCTGGTCTCAAACTCCTGGCCTTTAGCGATCCTCCTGCCTCAGCTTACCGAGGTGCTGAGATTACAGGCATGAGCCACCGTGCCCATCCACATATTTTCATATTGAGTCAATGAGATGTGTGACAGTGAAGAAAGAATGAGTGACCCTGGTTTTGCAACCAAGGGGTCATTCAGTAATGGGGAGGAATAAGATGGGCAACCAGCGACTCCCAGGCCAGCCATGCTGGAGACCCACCATTATGTTCTTTAGGGCCACCAGCAAGAGATGGAGCCAGATAAGCTCTGGTGATGGAGGCTTGGGAACATGGGGTTAGCACAGTCATTTGCTGCTGGGACCAGTGGTATCTAGTAGTACCCACTGTTTAGCCAGCTAGGGGAGGAGATGTCCAAAATGACCGAGACGTCTCCTTCCTAGGGGAGTTAGGAGAAAACTCCGCTTCTCCAAGCTCTTGTGGCAAGGCCTGACGCTGTCAGGGAAGCCCATGGACATCTGCGGGCTTAACTGTGTCTATGTGATGCTGTGCTTCAGCGGTCCCGTTCCATGCCCACTCTCACGCCCTGCTTCTGCACCTGGTTTCTCTTTTTCTCAGAAGATAAGAATTAATGTCCTTGACATTTGTGACAAATATGTGAAGAGCGCTGATGCATTAGGTTTTCTCCTCCCCTCGGCTGCTTGAAAGTCCTGGACCCCCTATCTCCAAGACACGTGATCGACCTGACCCTGTCACTGACCACCATTACCTAACCCTACCTTCCCTGCCCCCTGCTTTGTACTCAATAAAAGTCAGAGTGTCCAGGCACTCGGGGCCACTGCTGGTCTCCGCGCTTTGGTTGGCAGTGGACCCCCGAGCCCAAACTCTCTTTTCTCCTTCTCAATGTCTTGTGTCTTTTATTTCCAGTTTCTCGTCTCTGTACCAGCAGAGAGGGGCTCACAGGACCCTGTAGGGCTGGACCCTATAAAACAATATGATGATTCCT